TAAATGTATGATTAAATACAAGGAATACATGACTTTAGTCACATTTTTGGGAAAATTAAAAACATGTCACTTTTTTATTTTTCTCATTCACTTTAGTAATATTGGAATAAAAATGCCTATTTTGTTTCTTTAAATACCGTAGTTTTCTAAAAAAAAGGGAAAAAGTGCAAATAGGCCCATGTACTAACAAAAAAAGGTCAAATAAGCCCTTACCGTCGTCATTTGAGGTGGTTCCCGGTGGAATTTTTTGATGAATTTTTTTGAACATCTTATTCATCGAGTTTAGTTTGCTCATACTAAATTTAAGCTAAAACTTCAATCGGGAAGACATTCAAATGAATTCTTGAAGATAACTGTGCTTTTAACTGCGTAGTTATTTTCAAGAATTCATTTGAATGCATTCCCGATTGAAGTTTTAGCTGAAATTTGGTATGAGTAAACTAGAGTGAATGAATAAGATTCTCAAAAAATTTCATCAAAAAATTCCACCAGAAACCACTCCAAATGGCGACGGCCGGACAAAGCCTCCTAAATAAGGGCTTATTTGACCTTTTTTGGTTAGTACATGGACCTATTTACACCTTTTCCCAAAAAAAAAAAAAGCAGAAGACTGTTTTGTAAATTTCTATATCATCCATTCATTGAATTTATTCGTGAGAATTAATATGCGAGTGAGTTTGGTATGAGTAACCGCCATCCCCACTTGAACGCTTCTTCTATGAATAACCAACCAAACCCCCACATCCCTAAAACCTTTTCGAAATCCTCCTCCAGTTGAAAAGTCGCCTTCCATTCATGGGCGTTCCGGCACCGGAGATCGCGAAACAGCGCGCAATCTGATCATGGCATTTCTCATCAAACTAGCTCTTTTCTTCAGGCGATGGGCCTCGGAGCTCGACCGGCGGTTACTGCTGCTACTTCTCTTCCCCCTCTCCCTGCTTCTCATAGCCTCTCTGCCTTCGTCCTCCTCCGCCGTCTTTGGTCACCTCCTGTCGATCTTCGGCCGCTTCGAGCCGCTCCCATCGGCTGAGTTGAATCGGTCGAGAATCGCTGTCTGTTTGGTAGGTGGGGCGCGGAGGTTCGAGCTCACGGGGCCCTCTATTCTCCAGAGGATTCTCAGAGCGTATCCGAATAGCGACCTCTTCCTCCACAGTCCTTTGGATTCGAATGCGTACAAGTTCTCGTTGCTCAGAGCCGCTCCTAGAATCGCCTCCGTGAAAATCTTTAAACCCGCGCCTATCAACGCGACCGAGTCACAAACCCGAGTTCTCACGGCCGCCCACTCACCCAATGGAATTCAGGTACACATCCATCTAATTTCATTTCATTTATTCCATTCTGATAATATTCTCATTGATAATTACTGAATTCTACTCCGTAATTTTTGCAAAATCCACGCCCACCTGGCCACATTCCCAAATTTACCACCACCAATCAGATATACAGAGTACAACTTTTACTTATTTTTCTACGGTCAATTATTACGGCTACGTGTTAAAAGCCCCTATTGCGATTTTTTTCAGAGCGAGTACTTTAAATGCTTCATAATGATTCTAAAAGTGCTTTTAAAAAGAATTCTACTTTCGTTTTTTAAAGGTGCTTTTAATAAAAGAATTAGAAATATATATATATATATATATATATATATGGGAATGGATCAAGTAAAAAGTAGTCTTGCCATGAAAATTGAGAACAAATCTTAGCCTTTAGTCACTTGTAAATGGATGGATTAGATTAATTTTAATCACAAGAAACAGTGTCAAATAACGTGCAAATGTTTATTGTACAAAATGGATATTAAATGACTAAAAGTGCAGTCTTGAGTCTTAAAAAAGATTGCCAATTTTTTAAACTTGTGCACATTTTATGATGTACTGTTATGCACTTTTGTGCTCTACATGTACACTTTTTGCATATTCTTGTACACTTTTTGTATAACATTTTTATTAAAAATTCTTCGTAATTACCAGAATGCCACCGCGTTTTTCACTTAAAATTTGATCTCTTCCATCTATTTTTTAATATCAATGGCCAAGATTAGTTCTTACTTTTCACCTAGGAAACACTTTTTATTTGATCCATACTCATATATATATGACTCCATTAATTAGTTTGACTCCTTAAAATTTCCTCAAAGTTGCTTTGCTAAATTATTAAGAAAATCTGAACTGTTCTATTAATAATCATTAAAAAGATAGGAAAAATTGATTGTAATAATAATCCCAACTATTGGCGGTCCGCTTATAATAGTCCCAACTATCGATTATTTCAGAATAATCCCAACTTTAGGGTCCTTCCGCCAATAACAGTCCATGTAAATAAATTCATGTACTTTCTAAAGTAGATAAAAAGAGATATAGCAAGTAATCTCTATAAATAATCCCAACTTTTAATTTTTACGTTTAATTTCTATTTAAAAATCACTTTTATAGAAGGTAATATTTGGTCATGGACCATTATTGGCGGATGGTCCATATAGTTGGGATTATACAAAAATAATCAATAGTTGGGATTATTGTTAGCGGACTGGCAATAGTTGAAATTATTGTTTTCAATTTTTCCAAAAAGATATATGTAAGAAGCTAAAATAGTTATCTTCCGCCAATTAAACTTGCAATTTTATTTCGAATTTACTTATTTTAATTACTATAGAATTCAGTACACAAAAATAAAAAATTTAGTACTTAGAAATTTCACACTTTAGGAATTTCGAATAAACACTATTAATTTCATACTTAGGAATTTCATACATAGAAATTTTTTAATTGTGTGTTATTCTAATGAAAAACTAAAAAACAAAAGATTTCCATAATGTTTTATATTTTTGTTTCTAAGAACATGTTCAGTAAAATAGGGCATGTGACGCACCCAAGTATTTAGTATTTACAAGAGTGCGTGAAAACTTCCTACTTAGGATTATTATGAATTTACGATCAAATTGTATCATGTCCATAGAAAATCTCTACTCATTTATTATCCCTTTCACAATTTTTTATGTCCCTAGTATATCAAATTAAATTGTCACATGACGGATACAATTACAATGGTGCGACCCAAAAATTATAAAATATACTAGCAAAATTTAAAACACATATTGCACACTATATTTTATTTGAGCAATGCAAGCTTTTCATATTTTAATCAACTACAATTTTTTTTCATACTATCATTTGTTTTCCATAATTAAGGTTGTTTTAAATTTTTGCATCTTCTAATCTTTTAAATATGTGCTAGGACTTTACAAAACTGAATATTAAAAGTTATACAAAATTGACTCTAATGTTCTATACTTTTAAACATTTTACAAAAATAATTTTTAATGTAAAAGTTCACAGTGACAATCCTAGTTGTTTATTGTTTCATAGAAATGAACTGCCCACATTACTACACCAGTGATAATGTTGCGTTACATTGGTTCGTTTTTTGTGAAAGGTCAACAAGTTTGAGTTTATTTACACACTAGTACTAACTCCGTCCCTATTTAAAGTTCCCATTTTCCTTTTGTGGACGACCCTTAATAAAGTCCCTTTTCCTTGTTTGGTAAACAAAACAGTGTAAAAATGTGTCAAACAGTGTCAAAACAGTGTCATTATCTTACTATGAGTGCAAATTAAAGTGAAAATTTTAAATAGGGATGGAGGGAGTATAATTTTCAAATTAGGAATGATTGATGTCTAAATTTTTACTTTTTTTGAATATTTAAATGGTTAGAAAATGTCTTACATAAACATAAGTTTATATTATTATAATAATTTAATATCTCATCTCTTCCGAATTATAAGAGTTATTAAACTATGCTACTTGTCTAAGCTGAAAATAATGACCAAATATTTCGTAACGTAATTTAATGAAAAAAATTAGTGCAGGGGATAGTAAATGAGTGGAGATTTTCTAGGGACATGATACAATTTGATCGATAAATTCATAATAATCATAAGTAGGGAGTTTTCAAGCACTCTTGTAAATACTCGGGTGCGCCACATGGCCTATTTTACTAAACATGTTCTTAGAAACAAAAATATAAAATATAATGGGAATCTTTTGTTTTTAGTTTTTCATTAGAATAACACCCAAAAACACACAATTCATAGATATCTAAATATGAAATTAATAGTGTTCTTATCAGACATTATTTTTTTTATTCTGTGTACTGAATTCTATAGTTATTAAAATAAATAAAGTTGAAATTAATTTGCAAGTTAAATTGGCGGAAGATAACTATTTTAACTTCTTACATACTTCGTATAACTTTTTATTGATTATTTATAGAGCAGTTCAGATTTTTTTAATAATTTAGCAAGTTCAATAAATTCAAAGGAGTAATTTCACTAAGCAACTTTGAGGAAATTTAAGGAGTCAAATAAATTAATGGAGTGGTATATATAGAGGTGTTTCGAATTGATTATGTTTTTGATTCTTTTTTAAAAGCACTTTTTTAAAAACGTAAAAAGTACAATTAGAATTAGTGTTAGAAGATGGTTTTCCTCGCCCATTTTGAAGCACTTAAAGTACTCGCTGTTGAAAATTTCTCAACTTGAGCGTTAGGGGCTTTTAATGTGTAGCAGTAATAATTGACCATAGAGAAAGAAGTAAAAAGAAATTTGAAGAATCTGTGATTATATATATTTGTAGAGATAATTCCCTGACTGGGAGTAAAAAGTGTTCTAAGTGCAACAATATGGATGTTTTTTACTTGGACTGTAATTTGTTGGTCTAGTATGGTAAATGTCTGGTTTAGTAAATGTCCGGTCTCTGTGTATTTTATAACTAAGTCTGGTCTGATGTTGTCTGTTTAAGTATAGTCTGATCTGTTTAAGTCTGGTCTGTTTAAGTTTGGTCCGGGACTACAAACACTCCAAGTAAAACCATCAAGGACTCCAATGTTCCGTAGGAGTAAAAGGAAACAACATTACCCTTAATGAACAAATTAGTTTATTTATTAATTAATAATTCAAAATAAAATAATAATTAAAATATGAGGTCCATCACATTCACAAGGTCACAACCATCTTTGATGCAACTTCCACACCGGCGGCACCGCCGCCTCCATTGAAGTTTGTGCTGCTGCCGCCTCCATCGACGTCAGCGCCGCCGCCTACATAGACGTCACCCGCCGCCCCATCTCCGACCTCATCCAACCTCGCTGCTGGCCGCCGCCACATCCGGCGATGTTGCTGCCTCTTCCAACACCAGTGTGCCTCATGTGCATGAACGGTGCGACCTCTGGCGCCGCCGCCGCCTCTACTAAGCCAACCACTATAGAAAGATCTGACCTCAGATCTTATATGACTACTACTCAAGTGTCATCTTGTAGTTGGAGTGTCATCTTGCAGTTGGAGTGTCATCTTAATGACATTATTGTCATCCCGATAGAAGTAATATAACATTTTCAGATTAACAAACATGACACTAATGTCTTCTTAAATGAGTAGTATTGTCATTTTCGTAACATTAGTGCCATAAAAATGGCATTCTCAAAGTGAATTTTTTAGATTCATAGCGGTAACATTGTAAAGGTAATCTCATAAAAATGACATAATTTTGAAATAGATGATATTTAATGGGAAAAATAATAATAATAATAATAATAATAAATATATCATTTTCAAATTTCAAAATTATAAAAAATAAACCAATGAATGTCAAAATAAAAAGCAATTCTCGAAATAAATAAGAAACTAAAAATTATGCAAATAATAAAAAACTAAAAATTCTAAAAATAATAAAAACAGAGATGATGGAGAAGGAAGAAGTAAAAGAAGAAGAGAACAAGAAAATCAAAACTTACCTATACAATCGCCGCCGCCCGCTGGTGGTCGGAGTTGATAAGTAAAAGTCGTCGTCTATGTAAGGTGTTAGAGAACCTTTATAATTAAATAGTGAAAATATACAATGTTTTGAAATTGTTAAAATAGTGAAAATTGAAAGTGTGAAGCTTATTTGGGACCGGAGGTAGTATTATGGAAAAATTGAAAATAATAGTCTCAACTATTGATGGTTCGCGGTTAATAATCCCAACTATCAATTATTCCTAGGTGGTCCCAACTATAGGGACCATTTTCTAAAAAATAATCCTTAACGGGCTACAACCTGGTATAACAGGTCAAATTTTAAAGCGAACTATGTGTAAGTTATAAATAATCCCAACTATAGTCGATCATTTTTATTAATCACAATTATCAACTATCAATTTTTGGAAGATATAGAAATATTTTTTATAAATTTTCAAACTAAATATTTGTAAACATGTAAAAATAATTAAGAAAATTCTACAAATGTACCGATGTTAAATAAAATATTT